AGCAGCAACCCATGGCTGACATGGAACAGAAAGTCTTTTTCATGTTTAACAAAGACTTTAATGGTTGAGAGATCACTCTGGCTTTACAGAACTGGACCACAGTTTTATATATACTTAACCTGAGCAGACAGTATTTTTCCAGCTGCCCGTTGCCATGTGCAATGCTAGAGATGAAACATTCACCCAGAGGAGAGGGAGATGGGAAACTCTATTTTCATGTTTCTATATTTGCCAGTCTCTCTAGCACTGATTTTCAGCAGCTGTCAGCACACTAAGCTGGGATATTAGGTGCTCACAAGCTTGTCATCTTCTCTTCTGGCTTAAAGTAACCCCACTGTCCCTTTGGGAACTGCAGGGACCCCCCCAAACCCTGGCAGCCAGCCCCCCAGGGCCACAGGAACACTGTTTGGCTGTTGACCTTGGTTCTAGAGTTGCTATTTTGGGGGGAAATGGTCAGCAGCTACATCAGAGCCTGAGCCCACCCCACTGTTCAGCTTTTAGCCAGGCACTGCCAGACAGAGGAGAACCACAATAGCTCAGAACAAGAACAGGACAGGGAAGAGCAGCTGAAACCTTTCATGTGCAAAGCTCCCAGTGCCAGAAATATTCTTCATGGGGTTATTAAGAGACTAAACCACCTTCCAGGGCTTGAAAGGATTTTATTCGCGGGCATTAGGAGCCTCCTGGACGTGCCACAGCCAAGCAATATCGATCAACGTTGCAAAAATCCCTCTGCACATCTTTGCCATGACATCATCCAGAGAGCAGCATCTTCTCTTATTTATGAGCCATAACAGGCACCGCTTCCTGCACTTCAGCTGCCTCCCACAGACACTTCAGGGAGGGCTTTACTCAGCCCCTCACCCCTCCTAGGGCACACACACACACACTCACTTTCTTCCTACCTTAAACCCCTGTTGCAAAGCTCCTATTTGGGGTAATTTTTTTTGCTAGCAAGAGCTTTAACTGTCTGGTTTCCCACTGCATTCACTGCAGCTTGATGCAAAACGCTCCTCTGAGCCGTGACTACAGCCGGGTGCACTGGCACATCTTCCCTCCTTACCTGCCTCCTGTTCTTGCAGCCTGGAGCAGCGCTTCTCTTTGCTCTAAGGGAAAGCATTACTCTACTGCTGCGTGGTTTTTGATTAAAGAAAAAAAAAAATCTACCACCACCAGGATAAACAACAGTCAAAGGCTAGTTTGGACCCTAGTTCTAATCAGCAGCACACCAACTAGTTAAATCTGATTATCAGACTACCCAGTTGGTAATGTCACAAGTGATAAATCAAAAGACTCTCGCTTGATAAGGAAAAGCCAAGCAAGGCTATTTTAGAATGAGAATCCAAAGGAATTTAGAGTGCTGGTGTGAGAGAAAAGAGCTGAGATTAAGAGGAGATAGAAACACAAGCTGAAAGGGGGTCACTCCATAACTGTGCCTTCAGCAGAGGAGGAACAACATCCCATGAGTTGTTGTTTTCCCTCTGGTCTGACACAGGACACAGTCATTTTTCCAACATTTCAAAGGTAGCTTTGCCCTCAGCCATAAGAATGGGATTAAGAGGGAATTAGGAAGCAGCAGTCACAGGCTCAATTAGTGCCTGACGAGCCACGTAACACACACGCAGTTGTCGGTGTGATATGCAGTGCACCAGTACCCTTAAACACAGCTTTAAACTGGGAACTCATCAGTACCTGGGGTGTCTGAATGTGGTACCATCTCCTCGGGTCTCCCACCAACCTGCTGCAGCAAGGCTGGAGGGCAGCCCCGTCTCCCTCAGCCACGGGGGACAGCCACATCAATGCCACCAACAGCCCAGACCCAACAGCTCTGAGCGCAGCTGGGGCACCCCCAGCATCCCCAGGAGTTGGGACAAGTATGTCCAAGGCAAAAGGCAGCTCATAACTCAAATTAAAGACAAGAGGAAGAATTGTTGATCACAGACTACAGGATGAAATGCAGCTTTACATGGTGCTCAGAGATAAGGTTTAGTAGTGGACAGGTATGGTTGGACTCAATGATCTCAAAGGTCTTTTCCAACCAAGCAATTCCATGGTGTCACAGCTGAGCTCTCCCTCCCTGCTCTACACTGAGGGGCTCCACTACAAATAAAGGATTTCCATCAGGACCATCCAGCTTCTGCCCCGTGTGAGCCCAAACTCACCCCCTCCTGCTCACATCAGCAGCACCCGCCTGCCCCAAGCACTCGCTGTCCAGCCCAGCAGAGCATCCACAGCCCAACACATCCCACTGGGAACATCTCTAATTCCTACCCCGGCATTTATAACAGAGTGCAAAAAGATTCGGTGGTTGTGCATCCACATGGGCATGGATTTGATATTCATAGATGTTCTCTCTTTTTTAAAGGGCAAAACACTTTGAATTGAAACAAACTAAGACGACGACTTGAATGATAAATGAATGTTTTTCTCTACTTCCTCAGCAAAATTTAATTTTAATTGATATTAAACATGACAGCGCTTCTACTCAAACTTTTATTTGCCAGCCACCTATTTGAGCTGCCTCTGAAATGGTAATGCCATTAGGTCCCTGCCCTCTGTATCTTCTGGACTTGTTAGCACTGGAGGACTAAGGGCCAGGGCTGCCCTAAACACGAGGGACCCTGTGCCCCTCGCAGGGTGGCTGGGCACAGGGGGACCAGGCTTTCCATCCAAGGGCTCCGACATGAACAGCCCCAGCATGACTGCATTCCTCTCTCAGGCTAACGGGGAGGAGATGCAGGCAGAGGGCAAGGTGCTGTGGGTGAGCAGCTCTCCCCTTGAGATCACACCCAAGGCTGGTCAGAGAGCCAGTGGTGACTATTTGTTTCTGCAGAGAGAAAATTGTCACAAGGTTTCCTAACAAATCTTCTCAAAACGATTTGCATTTCAGTGCAGTTGGGTTTTGATTCCCGCAGTGCCCACAGCCAGGCGGCTCTGACACCCAGGCTGTGCTGGGGAGCAGCGTCCCGCTCCCAGCATCAGGGCAAAGCAAGAACTTCACATCACCACTCCCTCTGCCCAGTGCTGTGCACAAGCCTGGATCCCCTTCCTCTGCCCTCAGAGCCGGACAGACGGACAGGGAAGGGCTGGCTGAGGGTGGCTGTGGCCGGGGGACAAGGGGACCAGCTGAAGCTCAGGACATAGGACATGCCTGGAAGCTGGGCAGGCTGCTGTGAGAAAACCTCTGCAAGGAGAAGCCCGGATCTGGAAAGGGGAATGAACGCATTTGCTAAACAACAGCTGGACTTTATCTTGAAAAGCACAACAACTTTATTGCCGTGCAGCTCAAGGGTGAGCTGGTACCAGTGAAGGGCTCTGCCAAGAAATCAAAGGCCATGGAGTGTGTTGCATGGCCAGACTGGAAGAGGGTCTGCACAAGACGAGCCATGGCCAGCAAATTCTTTCAATTCATACTTCAGGTATATCCATCCCCAGGGGAGCATTAATATTTGCCAGAACTACTATTGCTTTGTCATCTATACCTCACAATTAAACTTCTGGTTGTCATTAGTTACTAACCAACATCACTGTTAGTCCACAGTAGCCTCTGTACTCCAGAAGCTTTTTCATGGTGTCCCATTCACAGTCTTAAAGTACTCTGAAACAGATTTTATTTATAACATCTACAGTGCAACAGAACCCTCCTCCTCTCCCTCACTGCTACTCGAGACACTCTGCACTACGTGGGTTCGCATTTTCCTGCTCCCACGCCTGGGACACCAAAGCCGCGTGCCGGGGCAGGGCCAGCCCAGCCCAGCCTAAAGACAGCAAGTGACTCACGGTGTCAGAAATCCCACCCGAGAGGTGGGGCAGGGCCCAGCCAGGCAGGGGGAGCACACGCTGTGCCCCACAGCCACGCTGCCATCCCCCCACACGGCCCTGGGGCTCGGGGCACTGGCCAAGACCCCCATCCACCAACGCCCCATCCCGGTGTAAAGCCTTCTCCAGGGAACAGGTTGGGAAAATGCAGCAGAACAAACACCTCGTGTCTCGCTCCTGCTGTCAGGGACAGGGACAGCACTGCCTGCAGCAGCTGTGCTGCCTAAATTCAGCCCTGGGTCCCGGCCAAGCCAGCACTGCTCTTCCACCAGCACCCTGCTTCAGCACCAGCAGCACGCGCCTTCCGCTGCTTCAAATTAAAGTGTCTGTGTGCAACTGGTTCAACAGAAGCTTTGGGTGGGTGGGTGGTTTGGTTGGTTGATTTCGTTTGGTTTGGGTTTTTTTACAAATAAACATTAGTTTTAAACAAATCTTCAGATCACGACAACCAAGAGAGCACTGAAGAGATTAATGAGGATTATCAAAATACAGCACAAGTTAAATAAATCTTTGTTAATATGCTAAATGTCACGGTGCAGTGTTCATGCAGGACATCTTCCAAACATTATAGATCTGTGGGCTGGTCTGTGGAAATCCTCAATGGTCTCTGTGTGAACAAGCTGGAATCAAAGGATCCAATCTGATACCATGAGCCTTCTTCTGGGCTCCTGGAGGGACCCCGAGGCTCACTGGCTGTCCCAGGACAATGTGGCTTCTCTGGGCAATATTTATAGATGTGACTCCTGTCTCCCCAGGTCACTTCATTTACAGATTCAGAAAGTATTTCCCTCATAAACAGCTATTTCTCTCCAGGACTATGCCCCCAATTTGGGCATCTTTTCTCCCAGGCTGCATCCCCACGCAAGGAGAGATTCCCCACCTGCACGGCTGGGCTGGGGGCTGCTTCCTCACCCACCTCCCAGCCACCCTACCACCAGCTCAAGGGCCAGAGGTGACACTGCTGGGGCTGTCCCCAGCAAAGCCCCTTTAAGGGACACTCGAGGGTGGCTGCAGGAGGCACGACATTAATTTTAGCCTGGAGCAGGGCCAGGGGCACAGGGCAGCTGCTGCTGTGGGAGGGCTGGTGCCTCCACACCCTGCCCTCCCCCGGGTCCTCCCCCAGCAGAGCCCCAATTCACGGCTCTGTGACCGTCCGGAGCCAAGCTGGCGGCAGAGCAGCCATGGCCGAGGAACGGACCGAGCTGGAGGAGAGGATCATCATCAAGGACCAGCACACCAAGGAGATCGACCTGGTGAACAGAGACCCGAAGCGTATAAACGAGGACGTGGTGAAGGTAGGACCTTCTCAGCGCTGGTTTTTAGAAGCATCGCTGCTTCCTTAATGCCATCAGCACGTTGGTGTGGTCAGTCTGTGCTTGGCTGGTCCTCAGCCAGGGCTGCAGCCGCTGGTGTACGCATCTCAAGGAGCAGTGTTACCATGGGCTGTGGGGAGGTGACCTGCTGCAGCCCCAGCCCTCATCCAGCCATGGCTGGGATGTGCCGTGTGTGGCTCCAATTAACACGGCATTCCCCATCCCGGGAATGCACCCTCCAACCTCACAGGCTGGAGCTGGAAAATTTACGGAGACACCCTCCTTTGTACCAGTGAGTGGGGAGCCAAAAATAAACCAGGGTCAGCCCATATCACTGATTTAAAGGGAACCTTGGAAAACAACTGCTGATCTTCAAGCCCTGACAATCAGCACTAGAGCATTTAGATACCTGCTGTCCTGTTTGGAAGATTGTTCCTGTCAGCAGGAGGGTGCTGCAAGCCTCCTCCAGCTATTTTTGATCAAAAGGAGTTCTTGGTCTAACTGAACAGGGAAGCATTTTCCCAAATGCTGACCACAGTAGCTGGGTTGCTCTGAGCTTTGTTAGCATTATGTCAGAGATCAGCTTGGCCCAAAGGAGAACAGGAGATGGAAGGGGTTTGTCAAGACTGTCCTGAGAGATCAGACAGGATGACATGCCAGAAGGGACAAAGCTCACAAAGGCTTTGGAATGGGCCATGACCTTGATCGTGCTGGTGAAACTTAAACTTGCATTTGTGCACTAAAACACAGTTACAGCTAAAACCATGGGCATGGGCGAGCCCCCCAGACGAGCTGTGACAGGGACAGCCACAGATGGGCACCCATCCAGCACAGCAAGCTGTGTCTGTGACAGGTGCCAGGCATCTCCAGCACATTGCCAGCAGCACGTCCCACATCTGTGCTGCACCGTGCCAGGGAGGCTCAACAGCCCCTGTCCTGGGCTTGGAAGTGCACTGGGCTACTGGCCACACCACCCAGCTGCTGGCCACACTGCCCCTACGCCAGCCCCATTCCCCCACCCTTTCCCCTGCTCAGGGATCCCCAAAAGCCCATAAGAGGATTTTCAAGCTCACCCTTTTACACGGTTGTGCTGCTGCTTTATCAGCTGTGGAAGTTTTCAGAGCCTTTGCTCAAGCTACTGAGTGTTCATCCCACCCTGAAAACAGCACAGGAACAAGGCTGGGGAGGGAGGGCAGAGCCAGCCCCGGGACAGGGAGCACAGCTCACCCCCCGGGCCACTTGCCAGCCTCCCGAGGGGAGAGCCCAGGGCTCCCCACTCCTCCAAGGGAAAAAGTCAAGGGCTCCCCACTCTCCTGGGGATGACAACAGCCTGGAAAACACCCCGGGGCATTAGAGTGTGTGCTGCTCTCCCAGCACAGGGGCAGGGAGGCACCAGCAGGAGGAAGCAGAGCGGTTTGCAGGCTGAAGGGTTCACTGGCTGCAGATGAACCTGTCCCAGATACTAATGTACAGCAGCCAGAGTTTGAGACCACACTTCAGTGGGGACACCAGCCCCAGGGGCTTTTCAGGGCTTCAAAAGCCTCCTCCCAGGCCAACCATGGGGCAACAGACCCGTACCTGTGCTGGTGCCCACGTTGGCCAGTCCCCAAAGGCTCCATGGCATGGCCAGGCTCAGCTCCGGACTCAGCCTCCACCTCCTCTGCTGCTCCAGATCCACTCCTGAGGCACCATCAGCAAAAGAAGCACCAGGCCAGAGACGCTCCTCTTATAGCCTGCTGCTCCCTCTGCTAATTGATCTCCTAATTAGCTCATCAGGCACCAGGGCAGCTGTGCAGGCACCTGTGGAGGGTTCCCAGCCCAGTGGGGCAGCGGGGCTTTCCCGGGAGCTGCGGATGGTGCTCCAGGACCAGCTAACCTGCCTGCTGGTTCCCAATCCACGTCGGTATTTCTCTGCCCGCTCCAGGAAATTAAAGAAGATGCAGAATGATTTTATGATCAAAGTGCTTCCAAAACCAGAACGGATATTGCAATTTAACATAAATGTACAGACATATTAGCTTCCCAAGGAAAGGCCATGCTGCTTTTCAAGACAAACAGCTTGGCTCACGTATTCCCTAGGAATGAGTTCCATACAGGGAGCTCGGTGTAGTTCAGAGGCTTTGAAGAGCATTTGTCACTCAGAGACACTCCCAGCGCCCGCACACACCAGCACCAGCCCTGGAAGGACGTGGCCCAGCTGATTTCTCTCCCTCTTCTGACAGAACGCAGACAGCCGGCACCGAGCACCTCGCCTCGGCACAGATAAATAAATAAATCATAAATCAAGAGGGCCGCTGGATTTTTATTAGCACAGACCACCTTTGTGCTGAGGAGGCAGCCTGTGTCCCTGAATGCTAAAAAAGGGCAGGAACGGGCTCCGGCCTCTCCGGAGGAAACACTTGTCCATCTGCAAGCACGAGATCTCAGGGGTGAGGAATATTGCCATGGATCAGCTCCATGGACATTGGGCTCTGCCAAGGGGCTGTTCCATCTCCTGTCCCCCATGGGCAGGAGATCCATGAGGGGCTCTTCCTCTCTTGCTCTCTCTGGCTTTGGCTCGGGCTCTGGCTCTCCCGGGATTGCGGTTTCGGGTCGGGATTGTGGCTCCTGCGGGATCGTGATCTGGGAACGGGCCGGGCTTGGTTGGCGGGTGGTGAGCAATGGCACTGGGTGTCACTCATTGGCATATTCTATTACTATTATTATTATCATTACTATTTTAATATCATCATTATTTTAAGTTTTCTTTTATTTCCATGATTAAATTGTTCTTCTCTTACCCTAAGAGTCTCCTTCCCCTTGCCCCCAATTCTCTCCTCTGTCCCTTGCGTTGGAGTGAGTGAGTGGCTGGGTTTGGCTGCAAAGCCAGCCCAGTGCTCCCAGTGCTCACCTCCATCTTCTCCCTTCCCAGGTGGATTTTGAGGACGTGATAGCTGAGCCTGTGGGAACATACAGCTTTGACGGCGTCTGGAAAACCAGCTACACCACCTTCACTGTCAGCAAGTACTGGTGCTACCGGCTGCTCTCTGCCATCCTGGGCATCCCCCTGGCAGTCATCTGGGG